TGAGGTGCTGGGTCTTCTGGTGATGAGGACAGTGGAGCAGGGTGAGAGCCTGGAGCTCCTAACCTGACCACTCTGTGTCCTGCTCCCGCCACCCTAGTGCCCTTCTTGCATGCATCCCCAGAAGACCAAGCTGCCTGAGGTGGTGGCAGTGACAAAGATGCTAGGTTGGACGTTGCTGGATGGGTGTTCTCCCCACCTTCACCCTCACAGGGCTGTGGACTGTGGACTGAAGGTGCAGGAAGGAAAGAAAGGCCCCATGAGTTGTCACCTCCACCCCATCACCTTGGTAAATTCCCACAATAACCCTGAGACACGAGTATTGTTACCCTATCCTGGTAATGTGCAGGCAGGCAGGAAGTGTGTGGCCTGCAGTGACGTGGGTCCTGACCAAGAGCTTAGTCCCTGCCTGTGTCCACCACAGACCACCCCACGGTGGCCAGACCCGGTTCTGGCTGGAAAGTCTTACCATAAGCAGTAGGAGCAATGCTGCAGGGCACTTTGAGCCAGAACTTGACTTTCTTATCCCTAAAGTGCTCCATTATGTGCTTAATTGCTAAACCACTAGCAAATTGCCACTTTAAAGCTATCAAGCTTTTGGTTTAATTAGCTCATTAAAATGCAACCTGCCATCCGAGCGTGGTCATGGGAGATGAAGATAGCCGCCCGCAGGCCTAACCCGTTCCAGGCTGGCAAGACACGCTTGAGAAGAAATCCCCTCAACCAGAGACCCTGAGTTCTGGGAGAACCTAGACAATCTCAGACGGCCACCCTCCCCGTGTCCCCATGCCAGAAAGAAACCTGTAACCAGAGGCTGGGCACTGAAGTGGAGGGAGGGCAGAAGTTGCAGCTGAAAAGGCGTCCTCAATATTTGGGGGAAGAAGGAAAATCAGCGTTGAGAGGTATCCTTGCTATAAGGATGTTCTCAAGGATGAAAAAATTTCTTCTGACAACCAGACAGAAAAAACAAGCCAACAGGTGACTTGCAGGGCTGAAACAAGTAAGTAAAAGCAGCTGGCCTGACTTTCCTCCTCACACCACTTAGAGCCCAAAGATGGTGCAGCATCTGGGGGAGGTCCTGGGCCTCTGTGCAACCCAGGACACAACCCCTCGACACAGGCATCGGGGAGATGTCTGCAAACATGAGAAGGTGAAACCCAGCCACTCTCTGATGCAGGAACAGAGAGTGAGTCCATGCCCAGGAGAGAACATGATGTCACAGCTGGCCGAGCACCCACGGATGCGGGAGGTGTGGGAGCCCCAGCCACAGGAGCAGTGAGTTGTCCACGGACACTCAGATTCAAGGGAAGATTCTCTTTGGGACTGGGAAGGTCCTTCAGTTTTACAACTATTTTTGAATCTTTTCTTTGTTAAATTCAAGTCAAGCTGAATTGAATGTTAAAAGTTTAGTAGAAATCAGAGGAGTAGGAATGGCTATTTGAAGCATAACCCAAAACTCAGGAGCCATAAAACAAAAGACCGATAGATTTACCTGAAGAGATGATGTGTGTCTATAGCAAAACAACATAAAGTAAAAAGAGAAGTGGCCATACCTTTGACAGTGAAAATATCCCTGGACCAATATGAGAAGAGCGACCTGTCGATAAGAAAAAGCTTGAGAACTTGTGAAGTTGTGAACAAATGCTGTGAAGACACAGGTCACAAAAGAGGAAAGACTGTTCCCCAAAGGTGAAGAGAAGCCAGGTTAAATCTGCTGTTTGTTTCTCACCTGCCTGAGATGAGGACAGGGACCCCGCCCCCCACAGTGGGCACATGTGACAATCACTTCCACTCAGGAGAACACAGGTGAGCCCTCAACCTTAAAATGCGCCCACAGAGTGTGCTCCGCACTGACGGCAGACGTTCAGAATCAAGTGCCTGTGCCACGCACTGTGTGCGGATGTGGGTTTCTTTCTCAGTGAGTAAAAAGTGCAAATTATTTTTTCTGTGGATTTTCAGGGCTTCTGAGCAAAAGTATCTGGTCCGAAGTTGGCGTCTCATCCTCTCATTTCCCAAATTAATAAGATTTTGTAGTAACCAGCTGCCATACAGGAATGTGGCAGAGGATTAGCGATGGTGCCAACGAGGACTTCCAGTTCCTAAAGTGCAAAGTTTGTTGTTGTTGTTTTTAAGGATAAGCCTGGTCCCTCGGCACCTTCCTGCCCCCTGGCCCTGCAGTTGTCAAAGGTAAACTCACAATGCTCATGATCATGATTGGTGGTGAATCTCTAATTTTGGAGAGATTGTGACTAAACACTAAGTCCTGACCACACCACCTTTGCCAGGTCTGGGGATCCCTCACTGCCTCCTCACCAAGAGGCCTTCCAGAGTTCAGAGGTCACTCGGTGCCCCCCAGGTCTGGCTCTGGGCCCTGTGACCTGAAGTGCTATGTCTTTTGGTCACTGGATTCCATCTTCCAAGAGGCCTACTGACCAGTGGGCACTGAGGGTCCCAGCCTCCCAGCTGCTGTGGGAGCTTTGCTGGCCCTTAAAAGGCAAGAGAAACAAGTGAGGAGGTTGTCACAAATACAGTCGCTGCTAGAGCCTGGCCAGGACATGAGGAAGGACAGAAAACATGCATTTTGTAGAAAACAGTGACTTACATAATGGTGACTGGAGTTAGAGCCTCCAAGAGGGTGGCCCCCAACACGCTGGCTTGGGGCTCTTGGGAATTCATGGGGGCAGGAGGCTCCCCCACCTCAGAGAAAGGCATTCCCTCACCAATGGCCCAGCCAAGGATAGAGAAGTGGGGCCAGACAGGGGCAGGGACCACTGACCTTCTAAACCCAGCTCCTGGACACTGAGTCCATCAGGAAGGAAGAGAAGACCATCAGCTCGGTTCTCTCTGGACATTAATAAACAATTAGGGAGAGTCCAGATGGAGGGACACATGCCCCAGTCCTTTCCAGAGTCCGCCAGGGAGGGGCCTTTAGACCCATTAGAATGCAGACTCCTGGGACAGTCCAGGACCTGCTGAGTCTGGTGTCTGGTGTGGGGCCTTGGGACCTGCAGGGGGTTCTTGTGCTGCCCTATGTGCTTGGATGTCAGGGCCACAAGGAAGGGCAAGGTCTCCCAGGTCTCTTCCCAAAGCATAAGGCAACCCCCAATGTCTCAGGGCCCGGGGCAGTTGGAGCATGCTGTCACAGGAAGAGATGACTTCTCTGTGCCCCTGCCTTGGCTAGCCCTGTGAGAAGATCTGGCAGGCCAGTTGCTGCCAAGGGAGAACAGGATCTCGGACGCTGTCATGTGGGAATAGAACTGGGCCCGAGGTAGGCTGTGCTGGATGCCTGTCCTTTCTCACCCACATCATGGCCCTTCCCAAGCTCAGAGAGAACTCCCTCCAGGGGGTGTGAGCCTGTAAACTCTGGTGCGGCCAGGATGTTTTCCTGCTGAGCAGCCTGGCAGGGCCTGAGGAAATCCAGGAACCCAGTCCTCCATATTCAGAAACAACTTCCCTCATTCCAGGTGGTCACCCTCTGGTGCCACTTGTCACCCCTCCTCAGGTATGTGGAAACATCCAGGCGCCAGCCTCCTGGGCCTCCTGAGTTTCTCCACCAGGGTTGGAACTCCCTGTGCGGGCTTCCTGGGTGGTTCTTCTGGGGTGGGGCGAAGAAATGCTGCCTCCACCTGATGTGTGTGTGTGTGTGTGTGTGTGTGTGTGTGTGTGTGTGTGTGTGTGTGTGTGATATCAGAGGAGAAAGCAGGACCTGATCAGAATGCAAGATGTGCAGCCGGGCTGGGGGCTCCAGAGGGCCTGCAGGCCTATGGGCATGGGAGCAGGACCCCCAGCAGGTCCTCAGGCCCCAGAAGCAGTACCCAGATGAAATCTGATCCTTACCAAGCATGCAGGGGACCCTTGTAAGTCACAGGACACAGGCCAGAGGCCATGGTACCGGGAAGGTCCTGTGCTGGATCTGTCACTCGGTTTCTCAGCCAGATTGGAGAGGGCTGTCCACAGGGAAGAAACAACAGTGAGAACAGGAGACTTCCTTCCTTGGGGAGCCCCCACAATAACTGGTAATTACAAGTGAGAAAGCAGGCCGTGGAGGGGTGAGGCAACCTGACAGCAAGGGTGGGGCTGGATCAGAACCAGCTGGACCCAGCCTCTGAGCCAGCCACCTCCTCCAGCCTCACCCAAGAATTCTCCCCGAGATGGGGCAGGGTCTGTAAGGACAGGACCCTGGCAAGACAGCGCCCTGTGCTCTGCATCCCTTTCTTCCCCACTGGGGGTTGCGATCCTAGCAGCTCAGGAGACATGCTCCTCAGAATTTCAAAGAAAACCTCTCAATAAGCAGAATCCAGTGACTGAAAAGGATAATCGTGCCAAATATCGCTTAAGCAGAAGGAGCCCAGTGCTTCCGTCAACATTCCAGTTATTTTGCAATCAGGCTCAACGTAGGAATTATCACTTTTTTTCTGAGTCTTAGAAGAGAACAAAGGAGAAATGGACTCCAATAGGCCTGTGCGGGCAGTGCCTCCTCATCCTAAGACCCTGGCAGGATTGATGGCCCAAGGGTTTGAGGGGAGCGAGGGGCCAGCTGTGGGTGGAGAGACCTCTGGAGCTCACGATCCCCTGAAAGCTAGAATGCGGGCAGTGGAGCTAGTTTCTTTAGGGAGCCCTGGAGACCCTAGTCTTAGAAGGCTCTGTTCCTGGGAGGGGGTCATTCTCTGGGCAGGAGATGGGGAGACCCCTGAGGAGGGTGTACTCTGGCAAGGTCCTGAGGGGGCAGCTGACAGAGGACTGGCCAGGCGTCCAGGCCATGAGAGTAGGACAGAAGGAAACGTGTATAGTCTGGATGTGGGCCTTGCTTCTAGAGCCCATGTCTGTCCTGTGGTACCAGGATGGTCCCTCCTGTGGGGTCCCCAACCCTCTCCCTCCTTCTCCTCCCACATGGGGTCCCAGCTGCTCACTCTCCCTCCCCTTCCCTGTGGGTCCTACTCCCCACAACCTCGCTCCCCTCCCCTGAGGGTTCCTGGCCCCCTTGACGCCTCTCTCCTCCGCAGGCTTCCATTTGTCCCACAAGGTCACCAGCGTGGTCCCTGAGAGTGCACTGCTCATTGTGGTGGGCCTGGTGCTAGGCGGCATTGTCTGGGCAGCCAACCGCATGGCCTCCTTCAAACTCACGCCCAACGTCTTCTTCTTCTACCTGCTGCCGCCCATCGTGCTGGATGCTGGCTACTTCATGCCCAACCGGCTCTTCTTCGGCAACCTGGGCACCATCCTGCTGTACGCTGTCATCGGCACCGTGTGGAATGCGGCCACCACGGGCCTTTCCCTCTATGGCGTCTTCCTCAGTGGCCTGATGGGTGAGTAGGCACCCCCGTCCACCAGGCGGGCTCTGCAGGCTGGGCGACATCAGGGTGGGCTCTGCAGGGTGGGCATCAGAGGGTGAGCTCTTCAGGGCGGGCTCAGTCAGGTGGGCTCTAGGCAGCCCCATTTAAGAAAGCCTAGGGTGCAGAACACAGACCTAAAAAGTGGTGTTTCGGGTCAGCGAGAAATGTCACCGGTGGGTCCACTTAACCCTCCTGGTTTGTTTAAAGTAAGGTTCAAGCCGGCCAGCGTGGCTCAGCAGTTGAGTATTGACCTAAGATCCAGGAGATCGAGGTTTGATTCCCGGTCAGGGCACATGCCCGGGTTCTGGGTTTCAATCCCCAGTAGGGGGCATGCAGGTGGCAGCCAATCAATGACTCTCCAGCATTGATGTTTCTATCTCTCTCTCCCCGTCTCCCTTCCTCTCTCTGAAATCAATAAAGGCATATTAAAATAAAATAAAGTAAGGTTCAATTCATAAATAGCTGGTCCATGTACAACCCAGCATCCCCAGGCCAAGGTATGTGTCTTGCTTGGGAATGAAGTCCTATTGGACCAGGGTGGCCAGTGGGCCGGGCAGGTGAAACAGCCCAGCTGCTGTCCCTCCCCCTTGGCAGGGAGGTGAGGTCTGGCCCCACTCCCCTGTCCCCAAGTCCCCAGAAACAGAAAGGAGGAGGCCCCTCTGGCAGAGCCCCTTAGCCCATGTAAATGCCCACGTAAGCAAAGTGTTTGGGTGTCCTTTCTACCCAAACCTTGGAGAAAAGGGCACACCCTTTCACATGCACTTGAAGCTACTCCCCTGCTGTGTTTCCTGCAGTTTGGTTACTTAACTCAGCCCTGGCCTGGTAGACTTGTGAGGTGCACCCCACCCACCTGGGAGTTGGTCCTTATCTCCCTGGGAAACTGGAGTAGGTGAGGCCAGGGGTTCACTGAGACCTCACACGGATGTGCCTGCATCATGAAGCCCTAAATGCTGCACTGTCTGGGGTTGCTTCCGCTGCCCCTGATGCATCACAGGTCGCACTGGGTAACCAGGGTAGGGAAAGGGTCAATGTTGGCACCCACGGGCTTGTCCGAGCACTTAGCCGCACCTCACAGACTTCCTCCATTGGAGCCAGACTCGTGGGGATGAGCCCAGATCCTCAATTTCCCATTTGATTAAAGGAAGAGCCTCACACCACCTGACACCAGGCACCACCTGAGCCCCTCCTCTCCTCCTAGTGACACAGGAGATACACTGAGGAAGAGAAACCAAAGGTCCCCTGACAAGAACAGTCACCTCACCTAGCATGTTTATCACCTCAGGACTTTGTCCTTACTCCACAGGGAGCACACATGCTCCCTCAAGCCCCCCACTATTGGCACCACCCAACAGGCTCATCCCGGAGAGACCTACCAAGGGTGACATAGGGCTACACTTGCCTAGAAGCTGCAGGACCGTGAGGTGTGATTAGTTTACATTTATTGGCGATGTCTTTAGGTAGTCAGGACATACCTAAGATGACATGGCCATCACCAGCCCCTGGGCCCAAGGGAAAGTCTCAAGGTTTAGAGTAGGAACACCTGTGACTGGCACCCAGAACACAGCTAGTCAGGCTGGGCATCAGCCCAGGTCATGGAGCAGAACAGAACCCAGGGCCAACATGTCTGCTCTGTTCCTGGATAAACAAAGCTGGGAACCAATGGAGCTGGGAGGGCAGGGATCTGTCTGTGCAGACCAGGGGCTCAAGGCTCAGTGTGCCTTTCTGAGGAAGGGTCAGCCTAGGCTTTCTGGGTCGCTGTCCAGGTGAGCCAGCTCAAAGATAGGCTCTGCAGAAGCTCTGGGCAGTTGGAGAGGTCCCAGCAGGTGGGTGAAGCCACAGGTCTTCATGCCCCAGGTGGAGAGAGGGGCTAGAACATGTGGTTTGTCGGCTGTGAGCCCACAGTCCAGTCCACAGAACTCTCTTGGCAGGGTCAGTGGGTGGTGGACTCTCTCACCAGGAAGGAGGGCAGGCTGCTCTTGGCCCCATGTCATGTCATGCTTGGAGTGGCTGGCTTCTGGGATGTGCCATTGGGTCGGTCAGGGTCCTCCACAACTTGAGGCCAACGTTCAGGGAGGCATTTAAGGATTGATGGGCCTGGATGGAGGGTGTACATCTGGAAGCCCCTGGTAGAACTGTGTTATCACATCTGCCCGCTGACAGAGTCTGGGGTGGAAAAGCAAAACCTATGATCCCCATTCCAAATGGGGCATTTTAAACTTACTGGAAGCTGGTCTTATAACACCTGTCACTTCTGGACAGTGACACTGGCTCCAGTCTGTGGAGCTTTAGTAGCTCCCAGCCAACTCCCTCTGGGGCACAAACCTCTACAGAGACCACCTTCTCTGAGGGGGCCGTGGGGACGTGGCTTAGCCCTGAGGAAGAGCAAGGCTCCTGCAGCGTTCAGCCCACATGTACTCCGCCTCTCCCTACTCCCTCTATCTTCCTTGCCCTGTAGGTGGGCCTCTTCCTGCCCTCAAGGCCTGACTGGCTCCTTGACCCTTGGGGTCCACTAGGCTGGGGTGGGGACTCAATTCCAAAAAGGCAGCAGGAAGGCCTGCAGCCAATGTCTTTCTCCAATCAAGCCCAGCTGAGAGCAGACCTGACACTCAGACTGAGCCAGACAGGCACCCACATGCACCTCTCTGAGGTTGTGGGTTCGTCGCTGGGAAACAGGGTTTGCACACAGCCTATTGGTGATCTGGGACCTGAGATAACTCTGGAAGAATTGCAAAGGATGAAAGTACACTTCAGCATTACCTCCCTACCCAAGGGTGCCCAGGAACCCCCTGGGCAGGAGCAGTGCAGCAGAAGGAAGCAGGGGGCTGGGCTCCACACGGACCCACGCCTTCCACGACCTCCTCCCTGCCTCCAGTCTCTGCTCCACCCCTCCCAGCACCCCCATATGTGTCATCTATCTCCCTCCTACCCTCTCTCCCCAACCCTCTGTAGCTGCTCATATTGGGGGCCCTAGGCAGTCGTGGTCCCCAGGATCCTGTGAGGCCTACCCCCACCCAAAACCTCCCTTTGGGCCCTTCCTGGTTGTTCCAATCATGGCTGAGACATCATTTCCCTGGGAGGCTTTCACCCATGCCATCAAGTCCCCTGATGCCTTCCCAGCACTTATGAACCTCCATCTGTACTCACATTGACCTAGCTGCAAATTCCCCAGGGCTGGGATCTGACTGCATGTCTCATGGCCAGGCACCACCCGAGTCCCTCATGTGCCTGCAGTGGGCTCACTGGTGAGCCAGCCAGGAGGGGTCAGCCAGGCCCAAGGGGAGATGAAGAGAACCAGGGGCAGTCAGTCTCCTCTGAATGGGCTGCTGCTTCCTGTGTTTCTGGAAGGACTGTGGGAGCCCCTGAGGTAGGCCAGTAGTCTAACCCAGGTTCCACACCAGTTATCTGAGCCCTGAGAGTTAGAGGCCCCACCCTGGGGGTTCCCAGCCCAGCAGTTACCAGGCAAGCAGCCTGAGGCAGTCCTGGGAAGGTCAAGGATGTGCTCCTGCCTCTGCTCCCCATAGTCCCTCTTCTCTCCCAGGTCCTGGTAGCCAGGGGACGCCGTAGGGACCCTCACTTGCCCGGCCCTCTAAGGCTCTCCCTGATGCCCCCTTGTCTCCCAGGAGACCTGAACATCGGGCTGTTGGATTTCCTCCTGTTTGGCAGCTTGATCGCTGCTGTGGACCCAGTGGCTGTCCTGGCGGTGTTTGAGGAGGTTCACGTCAACGAGGTCCTGTTCATCATTGTCTTTGGGGAGTCACTGCTGAATGACGCTGTCACTGTGGTGAGAGGGCAGGGGAGGGTCCTGGACTTGCAACAGAGCGTTTCAAAGCTGTGGGTGGGGGGAACCATATTTACTGTGCTGGATACCACTGAGCCCCCACTCCCTGGGCATCACGTGTCCCTCGGTGCCGTTAGCACAGGGAGAGCCTTGCCGAGGTCGCCCACAGAGCCCGAGTCTGTTCCTTGGCCCCAACACCCTAAAGGCTCGTGGTTAAACAGCATTTCCCAGGCCAGCTCCTTTCACTGGGGCCTTTTCCTCTACTTTTTCCTAACTCCGAATGACTGGTTGTTTTAATCAGATTTCTTCTTTCTTTCTTTCTTTCTTTCTTTCTTTCTTTCTTTCTTTCTTTCTTTCTTTCTTTCTTTCTTTCTTTCTTTCT